GGCTATCTGATCTGGGGTAGAACGTTCTTTCTCTTCTGCCCCAGATTATTCCCATAGAAACCATACACAGATGTATCAGGTATACTGCCATTGGCCAGCTTACCTGGGGCAGAACGTTCTATCTCTTCTGCCCCAGACCATTTCCATAGAAATCATAAACAGATACCAAGAAAGGGTTTGAACAATGAAGGGGATTTCCAGAGTCAGGTGGAGGGCAGCTTTTTCTCAGAGGACAGAGAGGGGGTCTGAGGGGCACTCTCCTTCATTTGCATTGGGGAAAAGCTCCATGGAAGCTTTGTGGAATGTTGATAATGATGTATATTTTGTTAGAAATTTAGCGTACCCAGTTGTGCCCTTTTTCATTTTGTGATCCTGAACTTCACAGGCTGATTCCATTTCCTTTCTAAATTCAAGTTTTTCTTCACTGTTTTATATGTGTAGTTTGGGTATAAGTTTTGATTTATGAAGTACTTCATTATTTTTCATTCTTTGTTCTTTCATCACAATTTTTAAAAAAGAAACCTTACGTATTTACAGGTTTAAGCAGTCTGTCTATATGATAGTCTATTTCATTTGAGCAGTTACTGTATTTCACAAAGCAGTATTACACTGTGGTGTCTGTTCTACGTAGTTCTACAGAATTCTGCTTTACTGTTCTTCTTAGCATTCTTTGCATTACTAGCATAGTATTTTAAAATCTAATCTAAGCAGGGTGCTGTGACACAAAGTCCCAACTGTTCAGGAGGTTTAGCTGGAGGATCATTTGAGCTCAAGGAGTTTGAAAACAGCCTGGGGAACATAGAGATACCTCATCTCGAAAAGACCTCACCTCAAGATCTTATTCTGGATTGATTCTAGTTTAATTTTTTTATTAACTTTAGGGGTGTGTTCACAAAAATAAAAATGCACATTGCTGAAGATTTGTCGAGTTATTTTTTTCAAATTTAATCCTCCATGTATTATCAAACAAACTTTTTGTTATGGTATAGTAAAGTTCGCTCAAAGAATGAACTGTTATCTTTCAAAGCATCTTATTGTCTTTTAGTTCTTTTTTAATATACCTCTAATATCTGTTGTTTTTATAAGAAATTCAATTATAATAATTGTTCTCAACCTTACCAGACCAAGAATACCCTCTAGTAACATTTTATTCCTTTTACATTTAGTTAGTTAGTTAGTTAGTTAGTTAGTTAGTTAGTCAGTTATTGTGTGAATGTGAAGAGAAAAAATTGTCCTACCACCAGGTGGGTTCTGGGTATCAAACTCAGGTTGTCAGGTTTGGGAGCAGGCACCTTTATCTGCTGAGCCATCTCACCAGTCCTAGTAACAAGCATTTAACAACTTTTCTATCCTGAAATCAATAGATTTTTAACAAATAAAATTCAATGCAATTACCATAATTAAAATATAAAGAATAAATGAAAGGAAAGAAGTTAACAAATATGTCAGTATATAAATCTGGAGCATCATGTAATAAGATATTTGGACATAGACATAGAAATCATCAAAGGGTGCAGCTATAAATGCAAAGTACTGCATGTTGCATGGGTCACACACCACAGGCAGTGTGGTGTGAGTACTGTGACCTTATAAAGTATTTGAACTCTTGATAAAATTCTGAACAAAAAATACAAATTTGATGTAATTCTCAGTATTATAATAGAAGAAGTTGTACACATTATTCATGTTCTGGAAACTTTAGCATGTGTCTAAACATAAACTTTTTTTAGATACTCAAATTTTTATTTTTAAAAATTGCCTTGATTACAATGTTAAAAGTTTGAGAGCTTTCCTTTTTAACCATACTCAAAGAGTTAATAAAAATGTACAGAAGACCAAACTCAGCTTAAAAATATTAAAAAGGTAAACAAGGTCTGGAGAGATGGTTCAGCAGTTAAGAATATTGGCTGCTCTTGCAGAGGACCCAGGTTCAGTTCCCATCACCCACACTGCAGCTAACAGTTGTCCATAACTCCAGTTCCAGGGGATCCAGTATCCTCTTCTTACCTCTGCCGGTATTTCATGACATGGGTACACTTATACACATGCAGACAAAACATACACATAAAATAAAAATAAGAAATAAAATATTTTTTAAAAAGGTCAACCATAGGAGACTGGAGAGATGGCTCAGCAGTTAAGAACACTGACTGTTCTTGCAGAAGACCCAGGTTCGAATCCAAATGGCAGCTAACTGCACATCCAGTTCCAGGGGATCAGACAGCCCCTTCTGTCCCCTCGGGCAATGTATGACACAGGTGCACTTACCTACATGCAGGCATAACACTCATAAACATAAAATAATAAAATATTTTTTTAAAAGGTCAACGATGATGTCCATAGGCATTCATCCAACTTCTAAAGAGGTGATATCATTCTCAGGGGAGTTGGTATCAACATCATTAAGGCTGCCTTAATCATCCAAATTTATACCTTCATTCTTCACTTAGGATAGAAGAAGAAAAATTAGGTAGTCCAATAAAGAAACAGGTGTCCCCAGTGATCCTAGTTGGATCCTCACATGCACTTGGAATGATGCTGTTTGTCATTCCCAGTGATCCTGGGGTTCTTGGCCCTCATAAACGTCTATCATTCTCTTCCTCTTTTTTTTGTAAAGGTGTATTTAAACTTTCTTTTAGCAGAACATAATATTGGGACATATCGTCTGATATTTAAAGTCACAGGTTCATGAGGTTGAACTTTCAATGAGTGCCCCATGTAAGAAAATGTGTCTTCAAATGACAGAATGTAAGGACCCCCCAAGTGGGGCTGGCTATGGGAGGGTTCCAAGGGGGATGAGGGAAGGAAGCATAAAGATGATGTTATATATGAAATACACAAAAAGAAAAAAAAAAGGTGTCCTGATGCCATAAAAGAAGATGAGTGAACTCAAAGAGGTCAGGCAGGATTCAGCCCACAGAGAAGTTATCTTCTAGATAAAACTCACAAGTTGGGCTTACAGCTTATCCATGTAAGGCTAATTTTAATATGGTGCCAAAATTCCCAACAGTCTACACACAGTCCTACCCACATCAGGTTAATTCTTCTTCCTGATCTTCAAAATTGTGCTATATTAGTAGGGCTATGTGGCATTGCTTAAATGTTAAATAGACATCATGCTAAGCTGTAAGTCCCTGTTCTAATAAGAGGTTCATCTGTCCTCCTGAGCATAAAGCAACACACAGAGCACAAGGGGCCATCCCAGCATGGTAGACAGCTTCATCACAAAGGAGAATAAAACAGGAAGCAGGCTACCAGATTTGTTAATATGTAAAATGGGGTTAGATTCTGTTCAGATAAGTGTAAAAATGAATATCAGAAAGGTCAGAGGATGATCTCCTATGGGGAGGTCTCCTCTGTGACTTGACCTGTAGAACATGTAGCAACTCTGGACTCTGTATTCTAAATGCCATAATTGTCTCTAAATCTTGTTAATCTTGTGACAGTTGAACACAAATTTCAAGAGTACCATACTGAGTGTTTATTTTAAATGGATCATTATCTTTGGTAATGATGTCACCTCTAAGATTATCTAAGGATAATGGGACTTTTTAAATATTTTATATATGAGTGTACTGATTGCATGTGTATTAAATATTTTATATATGAGTGTACTGATTGCATGTGTATAAGTGCAGTCATGTTGTGCAGTGCCCTCGGATGTCAGAAGAAGGTGTTGGATTCCCCTGGAACTGGAGTTAATGGATAATTGTTAGCCACCATGTGAGTGCTGGGAATCAAACCCAAGTCCTCTCTGAGAGCAGCCAGTGCTCTTAACCACGGAGCCATCTCTCCAGCCCCAGTATAATGGTTTTAATTCACAAGATAAAATATATAGGATTACAAAGGAAGCCAACTGTATTAAAATATAGGCCCCAGGTTGAGAATTCCTACAAGCAGTAATACCACCCTTCTCTCCCTTGTACACAATACAATTGAGGAACCACTAAGTTACAGGGATTTCTGTTTGGATAAAGGTGAAAGCCATAGTCTTAAATGTTACGAGTTTTAAAGCACATTTGATCACTTAGATTACTTTGTCATCAATGTTTCTCAGAGGACTAATATCCACTCTCTAATAAATGGAGTAAATATGGTCAGAACTGAATTTTTGTTCTCACTTGTGTCAAGAAAAAAAAGTATCAAATGTACAGCACTGTGATGTCACAAATGGTGATGCCTGAACAAAGACAGCCTGACTGTTATCATCCATTTAGACAAAGTGTGGGGCCTGATCTGTTCTGAAAACTTGTTTCTTCAGGAATCTCTTGGAACTATGCTACCCCAACAAAGGCCTTGCTCTTTCTTTATTGAAACTGTACCTCCAACATGAAATGGAGAAGGAAAAGCAGAATTTGTCTCAACAGGGAATTTTCCCTTTCCAACCTTTATTGACTTAGAACAGCACACACAACCTCAACAGATGCGATCTAATCCCACCTGTTTGCAGACACAACTGGGATAGTCCATTGCTTTCAACAAATATTTGGCTGTTTGCAGTGCTTCATAGTCTTACAACACACCCATACGTTACTCTAGGTCAAGGGCAAGGAAAGATCATGAAGAATTAAAGCTCTATGTTTATGTTATAAGAGGAGCCTAAGGCTAGCTGAGATAGTGTCTCAAAAGTCAGTCCCACACAAATGCAGTAGTACTTGTATTTTTCATTCATCATTTTTACAAGACTATTCTGATTAAAATCAATTAAGGCTCAGATCTTTGGCCAGCTTGTCTACTCACATATTACGTAAAGGAATAAGGTAACTTTCTCCAGGTGCCATTTGGCAAGTGGGCAAATAACACATATTTAACATAGTATATAATTATAGGAGACTAGAAAAAATAATTATAAGGCAAAATAATCAAAGTATCTCAGCAGATGTCCACCCAGTGCTTTCTAGGAGTGCATCGAAAGAGGTGACTGCATTGTATGTGGATGAGCAGCCCACTCACCATGGCAACCTGCAGAATGTCATGCTGGTACTTTTCATGTCTTTTAGGGTATGTCTCTGTGCCAGACTGTCATCGTAGGCTCTGTAGTCATTCTTCTCTACTCTTCCAGAGCTTGTTATAATCTAGTAGTGATCACCATATCTCAGGATACATTAGCAAGTCCATTTCATTATGGCTGGGATAATCTTTCAGATAAGGTAAGTGTTTGCCTCATGTTGTCAATCTACAGCTAATAGACCTGATAACCTAGTTAGCTTTGTCCAGAATATTTTAATATATACTTAGACACATTTTCATGGAATCTCTACTATCAGTAATGATGTTTAAAACTGTTTAAATTTTATTTACATGTGACACTTGAAATCATTCTTAGAGTGAACTTTTATTAAAGAAATAATTTATTTTGTCAGTAATAATAGTGTCATAAACCTCTTGATCATAAACCTAGTTCCTAATTTTTTAAAGTATAGTGTTTAAGTATCCCTTGGTAAGTTAACTATCATTAGCCTGTGACTAAAGCTAAATACACTGTTAGGATGAGATAAACTCACCCCTATCCAAGAACTACATAAAACTTAATACGTGTTTCAGTTTTATCTGTAAAAAAATCCTTTCTTTATAGTCTGGTTTTACCAGCCTTGCAAATAGAAGAGCATTACTAGTTCTTTGAGTACCTGGCTGTTTGCTGCAGTAATTACTGGTATTTAGCTATGCATATCTAACTTCCTGGCATTCTTCATCCCCTTCCTAAAAGTACAGTTCGACATAGCTATCTTTTATTAGTTTAAAGGCACCTAGGAAACTTCCATTCACCTTTCTAAGGAGAGCTGCTCGCATGTGCTTTCCATATGGCACATGCTCTTCACTTCTTTTCCCATTTTCCCTGCCCCAGCATTGGTAGAACGGAAAGAAATTCAGTATGTAGACGAGGCTCCAGAGCTTATTTTAAGCATCAACTAATAGGGCTGGAGGGATGACTCAGCAGTTAAGAGCACTGGCTGCTCTTCCAGAGGTGCTGAGTTCAGTTCCCAGTGCCCGCATGGCAGATAACAAAAAATCCCTAACTCTAGTCCCAGGGGATCTGATACCTCTTCTGACCTTCACAAGCATTGGACACATGGGTGCACTTACCTGCATGCATGCATGCAAGACCCTCATACACATAAAAGAAAAATAAATAGCTGAAAAAAAAATCAGCTGAGCTGAGTTACTTAGCATGTCTCATCTTTCTACAGGCCTAACTGATGGTGCTTTTGTGCCACTGGGACGAGCCTGACCAGTAGTTTCATTATAACTAAGCCTTTTCAGACTATGGCACCTCAAAATGAAATCACGCCTTATTATCCAAGGACTACAATTATTTCTTAAATTTATTTTATTATTTTTTAACTTTGTGCATATAAGTGTGTGCAGATTTGTGCATGTAAATGCAGTGCTGGAGTGAGGCTGCTGTGAGCTGCCTGATATGGGTACTGGGAATTGAACCCAGGTCCTCTGGAAAAGCAGTATATGCTCTTCACCACTGAGCTCTCTCTCCAGCCCTAAAGTTATTTTTATAAGTTAATGCATTAAAAATATTAACAGCATTTTTTCTCTTACTTGAAATCAAAGTACTGTTATGTTCCACAAATGAAAAATACCATAATGTGAGAAATCACAAAATACAGAAAAGTTTAGAGCTTGTGTTTATAATTGATATTTGTTAACTCACCCAACCTGCAATTATTGTGTTAGGTGATGGCTTAAATACAAAGCAGGTGTAAGGACTGCCCTGTCAAACTCTTGTCTGCAGGCTCAAGGAGAAGATGTAAGTGGAGAAGACTATATCGTATTTGGAATGGTCCTCTTTCTGTGGGAACATGTACCAGCATGGTCAGTGGTACTATTTTTCCGGGCACAAAGATTAAACCAGAACCTGGTATGAGATCATAATATCACCCAATCCTTGTTCTTCTTATTTAAAAAAAAAAAAAAGTAGGGAGCTTTATGTTAACTTTCTATTTTTAGCAAAATTTAAAGCTAAAACTATAGATTCTGGCCTTTTTAATTGAAAAACAAACCTCCATCTACTAATATTTTGTTCACAGGCACCTGCTGGCATGATAAATAGCCACAGCTACAGTTCCAGAGCTTACTTTTTTGACAATCCAAGACGATATGATAGTGATGATGACTTACCAAGACTGGGAAGCTCAAGAGAAGGAAGGTAGATTCTGAACTAGTGTTAAAATAAATGGAAAAGAAACAGCTCTAAACTTTAGCCCAACCACAAACCGGTGATTAGGCAGTAAATGTCAGTGAATAAGATCATGGGATGCTGCAGCCTAAAGCAGATCTGAAACGTGGCGACACACACACACTATAAAGAGCTGCCATCTGACTTGAAGACTGTATCACTCTTGTGTGGAAAATGTTTGGGGAGCAAAACAGCCATTTCATTTCAGGAACCCTTTGGTTCAGAGCCTGGAGTATGCAAGGGGGATGAACTAGTACATGATGTGTCTGCTTCTACATCCCTGGTGCTATTCCAGATCAAAAAGAAACCTTAGATAAAACTCTTGGGAAGCTTAGTGCCACAGGACATCTTCCTATGCCCTTCCGCCCTCCTGTTCCAAAACTATTGCCAAGTCCTCGAGTAGTATACTGTTAGCTGTATACTGGGTAAAGAGAAAATCTTAACATACAACTACATTGTTCTTTCAACTTGATAGAGCATTTTCAGTAATTCTAACTTCAGCTGGACAAGTTACATAACCAGTTTTTTTAGCCCATTTTTTATCTGTAAAAAAGGGAGAATAGGACCTATCTCACAAGGTTGTATGAGGATTAAATGACTTTATGGGCATACAGACATGTTAGAATAGAACTTAGCACATGAAGACATTATATTGTCAGACACTGTACTACTGAGAATCATGTATTTTCTGCAATATGTGTTATAGAGTGAAGATACTAGGTAAGTCGTTAAATTTTGTAGAAAATCAGTTATTTAGCAAACATCGTACTTTAATATATTTCTGTTATGAAATTCTTTGGAAATGTTAAAAGTGCCAGTGTGACATGTTCTGATCACAGCCTTGTGACTTCTTTGCCTTATTTTTGTTGTTGTTGTTGTTGCAGCTTGTCTAATTCGCAGAGCTTGAGCTGGTACGGCACCATGACTGGGTGTGGTAGCAGCACTTACACAGTCGCTCCCCACCTGAACGGACCTGTGACAGACACTGCTCCTTTGCTCTTCACGTGTAGTAATTTGGATATAAGCAATCACCATAGCTTATATGTAACTCCACAAAACTGATAGCATTACCACGTCAGGATTCCTGAATTGTTTTTCATGAATATGTATGTATATTCGTCTTAATTTCATCTGCATCAACATTCCATTATCTGTTGCAACTGACAACTAAATCTGGAAACATGGCTGTGTTTGGAGAGCACAGCTGTTTCTTTTGCATAATAAAATAAATACAAAGTGTGGAGAAGGAGAAAGCGATCAGATATTAAGGCACTTGATGTCCTCCAAGCTTCCAACTGTGGAACATCAAATGCGTATTTGCCTATTTGCACCCTTACCCTTGTTCTGAAAAAAAGTCTTCAGTCCCCAAAGTCATACCCGAATATTCCCACTAGAATATTATTGTACACCAAATTGGAAGGCAGTTTTTCCTAAAAGATCAAAGCCTATATATTCTGCATTGAACCCTTACCTGATTAAAGTGTGAGCAGTGTGCAGTTAAGGCATAAAAGTTTATCATTATTTATAAAAATCTACAACTATGTGATCATTGAAGATAGTTTTTTTAAGCATGCTTTGAAAAATGTCAATTAAAATTAGTCAATCATTTTCAACAGGTGATAGTGGTAATCCTTCACAGAGCTGACCAGCAGTGTTCTTTTGAGAAATCACAGGAATTTCTTCTAGAGGAAAATTACATCAATGAAAATTGTGTGGCTACTTCTGAGTAGAATTGGTCAAGTGACTTGTGTAACTGAGATATATTGTAGTTTAAGCATGATTGTTCCAGAAAGCAATAGTGATTTTTGCATAGGGAGATTTTGGTAGAAACTTCTTGGGACTGAACAAGTTTACAGATGCATTTAGGGATTTTTCACAAAATGTGCTAAGTTAAAACAGTATGTTTTCAGAAGCATTCAATTTATCTGAAACAAGATGGAACTAATCTTTACTGAATCAAGATTGTCCTCAGGTAAATTAAATCACGATGCATTCACAGTGAGCTGAAGTGCAATACTTTATAAAATATGTCATTCCTCCTTTATTTTTCACATTTTATACTTTGTATATGGGCAAAGCCAAATTAAGTTGAATTCAGATTAATTCCAGCATTGGATTAAATAAGCAAACTTAATGTAAATGTACAAACTAAATAAGACAGAAGTTAACAATATTGAAATACTTTAAGAATTTCATTGAAAATTGTCTTGAATGTCCTAACATAGGTTATGTGTCTTGCACACACACACACACACACACACACACACACACACACACACACACACACACGGTGGGCTAAGACAACACAGACTCTTAAAATGCACTTTCTACCTGTTCGCTATGGATAGTAGATGCTGAATACCTCGAGATTCCAAGGGAACGGACAATGTTAGGAAGTTGTCACAACATGCTTCAAGGTGGCTATATCCAATTATCTGCTGATCTATTTCTTCAGAACTGGAACTGTCCTTTTGTCTTCTACTTTAATTAGGAAGTTGTTTTATTTCTTCTTTTCCTTAAAATATTTTCAGCTTTTTAATAACTATTGTAGTAACTTCATAAGAATTTAACAGTAGGTAAATCTTTAAAAACATGGTATTGTTAATCTATCTTTTAAAAGACTGGTACAAAGCCAAATATTTTTCTTCTTTTTGTGATACAAAGGATTTAAAATTCAATCAGAAACATAAATACACAGCATTTGTTTATAAGTTCTCTTATTATAACAAATTAAGTTTTTCTAGTACAGACATTAGCCTTGGTAGTAAGATGACAACCTAACAATATAGTCTACAATAGTAGTTTTTTTTTTCCCCATTACTTGATTTTTCAGAATGCCAACTATTTATTTTGAACTGTATTGTCTTTATTAATCTTTGGGTTAAAGGTGGTAACTATTTTCTAGTTAAGCATCCCTTAAATAAAGTTCCTGTTTGACCAAGTAAACAGATTTTTTTGAATCTTCTAATAAAGTATCTTTTAACTCTACTGCTTGACTATACTGAATCTGAGATTTGTAAGTTTATTATCCTTGTCACTTACTAAGGTACCTAAATTCTTAACATTTGTCTTCTTATTTACATCACCAAAGACAAAACTCTGACCCAATTTTTGCTTACAACTTCCAAAGCACTAGGAGCACTTTAAGTTTAGTCTCGAAAGAAGGAGCCGTTTATAAAATCAAAGGGCTGCCAGTTCCCTGTTCACCCTGCACTGAAGCACATGATGACAATTTCAACCCTTCCTCTTATGTTAGTTAAGTAGAAAAGTGAATTTCATTGCTTACCTGTAATTCTAAAGTGATTAGCAACATCTGTTACCATTTATTTCCTTTGGGTTGCCATTCATTTTGGAACTCTTACCACCACTTATAACTGTAGCTGATTGTAATTTTATGGATGATGTAATTTATAGCTAAAGTGGCTTTTTTTACGCATAACTGCCTTTTTATTGTTTAACAGTGTTCCTCAGCTATACAGTCAGTTCAAACTGGTGACAAATGTATAGCTGTAGCCAATGAATGTATTTATCTGTTGTTTCACTAAATTGTAATAAAATACTACTGTTAAAGGGTGTGCTTTTATTATTGGAGGTGTGGTTTTCTTCCTTTCCCTTAATGGATTCTACTGAATTTCTAGCACATTAGATAAGCGCCCTAGTGTCAACATAAGAAGAGGAAAATCCCATTACAAATGGTAGTTGCTTAGTAAATAATGAATTATATCTGGATCATAACACCTATGATATGAACCGATTTGATACAAAATAACATTACTTTAGAATGCCAGTGTTATTAGGCAGGGAATATTCAAGCATTCAGCTAAGAAAAAGCCTCGTGATACAAGGGCTGGAGAGAGAGCTCAGAGTTCAGAACACTGACTGCTCTTGCAGAGGACCCAGGCTTGATTCCCAGCATCCACATGGCAGCTACGAATTGTCCTTAACTCCAGTTCCAGGGGAATCTGAAGCCCTCTTCTGACCTTCGCGGCATTGCACAACACAGGTGCACTCACATATATGCAGCCAATACACTCGTACACATAAAAATAATATTTAAAGAAAAAGCCTCATGAAACAGTTTACATCTCCTTCCTCCTGAGAATCATGAGTCTATTTCATCAAGAAACTCATGAGATGTTGCATCTTCCCTTGGAAATACTTTTTTTCCAAAATTTTATGACTGACCAAAAAACAAGGTTTTAACACAATTTGATCTTTATCAAGCCCCTAAAGTCTAATTCTTTGGGAGTCTACTGACCCATGCTGTAAAGCAAAAGGAATTAAAGGTATTTGCAGTGAAGGTGTGACCTCTAGTATAACAAAATTGTCACTTTAGCCCAATTTATTCAACACACATTTATTAAATGTTCATATGCCAAAATGAATAAAGTCCCTTTTCCTGCCCTTAAGGAGCTCACATTCTAGTATGGGATACTTTAAAAATGAAACAATACAGTACAATAAGTGATACAATAGAGGTAGGTTGCAATTACAGTGGTGACACAGGAAGGAGTGGGGCAAGGGTGCGTTCACAGGGATGCCCATCCTAGGCCTGCAAGAATGCATGTAATTTCCCAGGTGGGAAAGGCGGCTACAAATTCAGCATTTACCAAGTATGGATGTCTGACTCTACGGGACTTTTGAAAAACTTCCTCTTTCATCAGAACACTGAGACACACATAGGAGGGCCTTGGGCACCAAGCAAGCTTTCTTTTCCAAGAAAGCACTTGAAGTCACTGACAGGTGTTAAGTAGAATGCTTCTAGAAAGCCTAGTCTAGTAACAAGGACCGAAAAAGGGAAGATGGGGAAATAAGTTTATTTAGTCCTTTAGATAATAGCAATAAAAACAAACTACATCCAAAAAGTGGTGGTAAAATCAGGAGGATTTAGACAAAAATCTGTGTAGGAAGAGAGGAATGAACAGTCAAAACTTGGAAGGGTGATGGTTCTGAAATTAACCAAGTAAGGAACACAGGTATCAGTAGGTTTTGTGACAGGGCTGGAGAGGCAGCTCAGCAGTTAAGAGCACTTGCTACTCTTGCAGCTACTCTTACTATCCCAGGTTTGATTGCTGGCACCCACATGGTGGCTAATAACCGTAACTCCAGTTCCAGAGGATCCAGTGCCCTCTTCTGTCCTCTGGGGACACAAGACGTGCATATGGTACACTTATACATATGCAGGCAAACACTCATAAAAATGAACAAATGATAAAGAGTTGCTTTTGTTGAGAATAATTGTGACTGTTGAGTACAGGAGGAAAATGAATTGAGAAGTTTGAGGTAAAGATTAAGGATTAGAATCGCTGGATGAGAATTTACCCAAGTGAAGAGAGACATGGTGGCCAAGAACAAAAGGAAGGTCTGAGGAATGGCATTTAGGAATAAATGAAGAGACCAAAAGAAAGGAGTCCAGGAGCAAGCAGAATACAAGGGACCGAGAACACACAGCCTTGTTTTGTTTTGTGAGACACGGTCTATGTAACCCTGGTTGGCCTGGAACTTGCTATGTAGACCAAGTCAAATAAGAAATGGTTTGTGAAATGACCTGTAGATTTTTTAAATATTTTTATTTGTAATTATTTGTATATATGCACATGAATGCAGGTGCCCACAGAAGCCAGAGGCATTGGACTGCCCAGGAGTTAAAAGTTATAGGTGGTTGTGAGCTGCCTGATGTGGTTGTTGGGAATTGAACTTGCCTCCTCGGAAAAGCAGAATGCTCTCTTAACCACTGAGCCATCTCTGTAGCCCTGAACTGTAGATTTAGAATTAAATTTTAGACTTCACTAGGAGGGACTGAGGAGAACACAGGCCAAATACCAGCTCTTGGTTAAGAAGCAAGTGGGAGGTAGCAAGTGAAAGTAAAGAGTTTTCAAAAAGACTGGCTGCCGGAAAAAAGGAGAGCAGGCATAAGGTGGAGTCAAGTACGTATACAAAACTACCTACACACATTCACCACACTTTCAGGGTAAAACAAACGTCCTTAAACTTTTTTATATGATGATCACTTTGTATCCCCAAGAAGACTGACTGAATTAGTGGGTTGAGATCTTTCATTTGCTGTCTTTCAGGAAAAAAAGGAAAAGAAAATAGGACACATTGTTACATGGTCATTTTAAAATATGTTAAATACATATACATCCAATGAACAAATTCTTACTGGACACCAACTATTTATGCTTGGCACTGAACAAGGACTTAGGGACACAGAAGAAAAAGTATACAGTACTGTAAAGTGACATTCCTAAATCATTACAAAAATAAATCCTGGTTTTCTAATAATGTGACACCTAATAATGTGTTAAAGTTGCTCACACATACATAAAAGGGGCACATAATTTTGAGGTATACAGTTTTCCCCCTGTAATTTAATTCCTAAGCCCCTTTGAATATATGTATCTCTGAAGAGCTTCTATTAATAAAAACCTAACAAAATTATAGTTCAGTCTTATGGAGGCAAAGGAAATTAATCTCAAATAAAATTCAAAACTTGTATGCCCTATGACTATACAAATCAAGCATAAAACAGCAACGAAACTCTTAATTTTAGATGACTGGGACTTGAAATATAGTCCCTTATTTTAAGGCTTATTGTATTTTAGCCCAGATTTATAGGGTTTGCTTCTTCCTTAAAAAAAAAAAAAATCAACTTTTACAAAATTATTCAGCATTACATTGAAGAATTTTGGATTAAGGCATGACAACTAGAACTTGACTTTCAAACAATTAAGAAACAAGTAGTACAGTATATACAAAGAGAACAGAAGATAAAGCAGTGGCCTGGAGATACAGCTCTACAGAGGACTTGCCCAGCATGTTGGAGATCCTAGGTTCAATCCCCAGTACTAGAGTGGGGAATAAAAGATAAAAACAAACCCAGATGTGGTGGCGCACACCTTCAATCCCAACACTCAGGAGGCAGAGGCAGGAGGATCTCTGAGTTCAAAGCCAACCTGGTCTACATAGCAAATTCCAGGTCAGCTGGGGCTACAGAGAGACCCTGTCTCAAAAAGACAATAAAAAAGATAAAAACAAATATGAACAATCAGTGAATCTGGGTAAAACATTTTTGTACTATTTTTGAAGTTTTTCTGTAAATATGAAATTATATAAAAATAAAAATTTTCCCCAAAATTTTACTCAGTATTAGGGGAAGTATTATGAGAATAAATATATAATCTATTCAGCTTTCAACAACACTCAGAAATCTCCTATGCCTTTGAGTTATACTTTTCTACATACCAAAACAGCAGAATCAATATAGCTATATAACTCTAAAACAAATCAGTTCCATGGGAGTCCCAGTAAAATTTGAACTTCAAACAAATTTTAGTATAAGTATGGCCCTAATATTGCATGCAACATACTTAAATTTAAAAGAAAACGAGTTGTTTAAAGTTCACATCTCACTGGGAAATCAACACTTTTCTTTGTAAACCTGGCAATTATAAATACATTGAAAGTTTGTAAGCTGTTGATCACGGGTCATTTGTGAGCCTCATTAGTATTTTCCTATTAAATACTTTTCATATTTGCCATAGTTTATTACACCTTAAATAAAACTCTAGTTTGAAAGACTTAAGACATCATTCACATAGTTTTATCTTATATGAACCTGATAATCCTATTTCATCCAGTATTAAAATTTATACCACATTATCAAAATATTACTTTTATTCACAATATTCAACATGGACACAATTTTTTAAAATGTCGTTTACATAAAACAATGTACTTCTCCTTTTACAAAAGCAGCTTTATATAAAATGTCCGCTTCAGACTCATTGCAGTTATGCTGTTCAATGAAATCCCAGTCTTTGGCCTTTACTATCTAGAAACAGGCATACTTCAACTCCTTTTCCTCAGTGAATATTTTGTAACAAGTTCCTGAAGTTTTCTAGTTCTCTCACACTTGTAGAAATTCTGTAAACAGAAAATACTTCACTTAGAAACCATCTTTGGCAATTTTCTGTTCGTCACTTTGCATTTTTTTTAAGTTAATTTATCTCAACAAACTGAAACTATTTGATTTCATATCCTTTAGTTTTTACTTTGGCAGGCATGGAAAACTAAGATAACACTGTCCAGAAACTGGCTAGCTTTTAATATTGAAGCATTAAAATACATACATATAAACTACATAGATATCAAAATATTTATTTTGAATATTCAGAACTATAATACTTAAAGCACATAAGTATTCAGTATAAAATACATGAG